GGTTATATAGCATAAATATGTGAAGTACACCTGCAGTATGGAAACAGTACAACAAAATGACCGTTTTACACTTTTTTCTAGTAAATTCCTCTCTATATATATTCTATTCTCTATGTAAATAATACTCCAGAACTCAGCCCTAATCATGGATATATAATAGAATGGATATATCATAGTTAAGGCTTGATGTAATTTTTACGCTGGGGTGATATGCAGTACGTTAGACATTGGATCCTGGAACTTACAATTTGTCTTTGGTTTTCGTAAAGTTAATAGATGTTGAAGGAGTATAAAAAACATTGTCTTTAAAACTTAAATTATAAAAATTGTTTGAGATAATAAAGATTTAAACAACCTTGCTTATTTTGAATTTTAAACAAATTTCTTAATATCTTGGTCAATTCTTAAGGTACAAAAACGGCAGACCATATTTTGGAATTCTGAAAACAAGGCGCCTTTGATGCTACCAACTCTTTGAAGAAAATGCTATGTTCACAAGATTTTAGCTACAGTATCTTATTTCTGCTTACTCCAGGGCCCACTATCTACCAAAGTTCTTCTCTAATTTGGACCCTAAACTTCACTTCAAACTTTTTTAAAAGTACAAATTATTTTTATAGAATGAACAATAGCCAGAAAAAAAAATTGTTATAGTAAAACCTAAAATTTGCTATGCAGAGATTTTAGAAATTTCCTAAAAATATCTAGGGTCCACTGAGATATAACAGCTGCGTAGCCCACCGACAAAGTTACATGTACATTAGCACAGAATAGTATAGATCGGTAGATAGAAGCATACATATAAGCGGGCCGTGGCCCTAATATCATAAACTAATAGTAGTATCTAGTGCATATTATGTAAAAAATTACGTATATATCCATCCACCCCCCCCCCTTCTTTATGTTCTGTGCCCCCCAGGGGCCCCGCTGTTTAATGTCAATTATAAAAATACAGATGATTAAAACTGGGAATTTAAGTGTATTTATTCCTTCGGTTAGACTCACTAAATAGACTGTATATAATTTTCATTATTAATATGTACATATTGTACATTGTACAACTTTTACGTTTGAACGGGACATCATCAGGCCTGTACTTCTCACAATGAAAAAGCTAAACAAATATAAAGGTATGATACGGCTAGGCTTGAAAAAGTCGGTCATCACAAATAATCTTTTTTTTTTAAATCTAATTTTTTAAACAATATTTTCTTATTTTCAGGTATGTCATATATTCGCTAACAGCCTAGGATTTGTAAAATGTTTTTTGTCTATCTTTCTTTCTGTCTCTCATGCTGTCTGTCTATACTGTCTTTCTGTCTATCTTTCTATCGTGCAGTCTATCTGCATTTTTGTCTATCTCTCTATTTGTCTATCTGTCTATTTGTCTATCTGTCTATTTGTCTTTCTGTCTATTTGTGTATCTGTCTATTTTTTTATCTGTCTATTTATTTATCTGTCTATTTGTCTATATTTCTTTTTGTCTATCTGTCTTTTTATTTATCTTTCTAATTGTCTATATGTCTATTTGTCTATCTATCTTTCTATCTATCATGCAGTCTGTCTATACTGTCTTTCTGCCTATCTTTATTTTTATCAATCTGTCTTTTAGTTTATCTGTCTATTTGTTTATCCGTCTATTTGTCTATTTGTCTATTTGTCTATCTGTCTATTTGTCTATCTGTCTATTTGTTTATCTGTATATTTGTCTATCTGTCTATTTGTATTAAGACTTATTTCATATAATCTGTCTGTTTTTCTATTTTTTTCATGTCTATCTGCACGATTGTCTGTCTATATATATATAATTACTTTATATCTAGTATTCTATCCATATAAGTAGTTTACTAAGCCGATCATTTCGTTTCAAAATTCCAATTTTTCATTCTCACCGTTATATATAAATAATGAACAAATCATGACTTAATTAAGGGGTCTTTATTTTAATGTTACAATAACCAATCATTTGATTGGTTATTGATTGGTTTTAATGCAGGTTCATCAAGTTTATGGGAGGATAATCAGGATTTTTCAATCATTAATAGGGATCAACAATTTAAAAAGAGATGGGGGGGGGGGAAGAGGTATTCAGCTGAGATACAAAAAATAGAATTTGGAAATTCATTTTCCACCACATGTGGTTTTGAATTCAAGGTTAGCAAGGTGGTGGGAAAACTATGAAATTATCAGCGTTTTCTTTAAACTCGTTTTTCCTCCTTTATTCTCTTAATTATAAATTTATCTCACTGACTTACTTTCTCCTTCGATCTTTTATTCCTTTTTAACCGCTTAAAGAGACTGTAAGCTAATTCCAAGCGACGTTTTCCATGCAAAGGTGGCAATGTCTGATTCACAATAGTACCTTTGAAATGATGTGGAAGAAATTGTCGTTTAGCTAGTTTTAAAAGCGTTTAATTATGATAATTCCTATATGTTTTCCATCATTAGAAAAGCGCAAGTTATTTTTGTAGAGAACCCAAATTGAAAATCATCATTTTTCAAATTTAAAAACATTGATATCTAATATATACTTGATTAGAAAAATCTGTTAAGGGTACCGTTGTGAATCGGGCATTGCCATTTTTGCAAAGAGGGTTACTTGAAATTAAGCTTACAATCCCTTTCATTCTTTTGAGTTCAAGTTCATAATTGTTACAAATGTAAAACTGCAGCTTTACAAACCCCGCCTCCTGTGTTTTTTATTAAATAACTCAAAAACGACTCACATTAGAACGCTAAATAGTTTTTTTTTTTGATGCGCGCATAGGGTAGGGTGAAGGACGGTCAAACGGCGGGTCGGGGTTAAAAAAATCAGAAATGGTTAATTACTTTTTTATTAATTAAGCTGCAGGGCTAAAATTTATAAATTTAAAAAGCCCTTAAAAACGGATGTAATAATATGTGTCACATGTTTATATTTTTCAAAAGTAAAAATCATTGTTTTTGAACATTTTCCCGGCGTACTTTTTGAATCTTTTTCCGGCTTACTTTTTGAACCTTTTTCCTGCGTACTTTTTGAACATTTTCCCGGCGTACTTCTTGAATCTTTTTCCGGATTACTTTTTGAATCTTTTTCCGGCGTACTTTTTGAACATTTTTCCTGCGTACTTTTTGAACATTTTCCCGGCGTACTTTTTGAACCTTTTCCGGCGTACTTTATGAACATTTTTCCGGCGAACTTTTTGAACCTTTTCCGGCGTACTTTATGAACATTTTTCCGGCGAACTTTTTGAAGCTTTTCCGGCGTACTTTATGAACATTTTTCCGGTGAACTTTTTGAACCTTTTCCGGCGTACTTTTTGAACATTTTTCCGGCGTGCTTGTTGAACTTTTTTTAAAATCCTCCCTTGCACCTTGTATAATTTTTTTAATGAGCAGGCCTTGAAAAGTTGGACGTACCGATTATAGTGAATACTTACGTGTTCTCTACATTTAATTAATTAAATTAGTAAACTCGTGTAATTCCCCGCATTAACTGCGAGACTCAACACTGCGTTTACATTAAAAACTCATCATTAGCCGCCATTAGTGGTCGTAATGGAGGGTTTTGTAAACAAGATGGATGCCGTCTTGTCTTGGTTAAATATATATCCAGGTGTACTCTCTGCACGGACACAGGATGTGCTCCTTTTAAGAACTTTTTTTACTGTCAACATTGCCTAATAAATGGCCCCATTATTAAATTATAAAACCCATTAAATTTGAAAAACCGCTCTGAGTTAAATCGGTTGCAAAAATTTAAATTAGTCTTTTTTGCAGTTTTCTTTGTACATGTAAAATGCACGTTAAAGATAAAAAATTGGCTTTGTCCTGATGCACTTTATTGCAATGTAACCAAAAGTCTAATTGCATCTGCAAAATATTCTAATTATTGAAAATATGTTTTTTATTAATTTCTTAAAATCTTTAAAAAAAATACAAGAAATATTTGTAATAATTTTATTCATATTCAAATTGATCCCTTTCGCATAAACTATTATTNCTGCCCTACCCCCTCTGAACAAAGAAAGACCATCCAAGTTCTATTTGCAATTCGTGTCTTTACCTTACTTAACATTTTGTCACACTGCCATCTTCTATCACGATATGCAGACAATTCTGCACCTTTCGTAGAGGAATATGCAGAGTAAATGTGCAGCTTAAATACCACTAATAGATGCACGAATATTTGCACATTCAAGCACATTCGGATGCAAAACAGCGTGTGCAAAAGCTTTAAAGCTCAAATTCGCAAAAGATCGAAGGTGCTACAATACATGAAAGAGAGATTACTTTTTCCAGTTTTTGCAACATTTTTGCGAGTTGTAAAGCTGACTTTTAAGTTTTGTTTATTGCAGATTTTGCAGTTTTACAATCTATGGTCTAACTACTAGAACATAATATGCATTCAAATCTTTATTCTCGCAAACTTTGGGTTCAGGATAGAAGAAAGGGGGGAGGGGGGGGCGGGAGATTTAAAAAAGGCTTAGACAAAATTTAAGAAAAGTGGGTCATTACAGGAAAATATTGTTCAGGGTTACCCACAAATAATGAGACATCAAAGACGACTGTGAGGAACTTATACTGTCTGTTTCTTTGTTTGTATTCACGATTCTCTGCAACTGTAAACTTTTTTCTTTGCCAAATTATTATTATGTCAGGCAGAAAACTTAAGTTAATCTTGGAATCGTTGAGTTTCATGTCGTCTTTGCAGTCTCATTCTTTGTGGTTAACCCTTATAACTAATACATAGATGATGAATATGGAATTCAGTATAAGTATTACATGTATATATATATATACATAGATGGATAAACAGTTAATTCATAATTACATGTGCTTTATTAATTACTAGCTGAAGGGTCAGTCCCACGGCCACCCATGAGTGTCCAAAAAAAGTTTCAGACCAATCGGTCGAGCCGTTTGGCCGGCTATACACAATTTTACATATATATATATATATATATAATATGTGTCTTGTTATTATATAGATTAAAATTGTATTTTTTCATGACTTCCAGGATTATCAGGTATTATTATTATCATCATTATCATTGTTATCATCATTGTTATTAGCATCATCATGATTAGTATTATCAATATCATCAACGAGTTTTACTCCGTTATATTATTCAAAGATTTTTTTCAAATATTCTAATAAGAAAGTCTATCTCTTCGAAAAGACATGAGTGTTTGCCACAAGCTCAACTTTTTTAATCCCTAGTTATTTGCAATCTGATGGTGTAAAACTTTGATATTTTAAACTTTTATTATTTGATTTAACAGAATTCATAGTTTGAAATATCTAAGGTCTACGACTTTAGAAAATCAGAATTTGTGGCAAAACTGTAATTTGTTTTAAAATAAATAAGCTTTTTATGGGAGAACAATTTTGTTGTGTTTTTCTACTATCTGTTCTTTTTTTCTTATAGTATTAATCTATGGTTAATAGTGATTCAATTCTTTAGTTCTTGTTGTAGCCATATATACCAATAGTAAAAGTACATATCACACAAAAATCACGTAAAAGTGTGTTCAGGAAAAAACAGGATTAATTAAAATTTAGTTCGGTTTTTTTCCTGTTTCCCTTTTTATTAGTAACTGATGTTTGTGTAAAAAGAGAAATGGTTTTAATTAATTTTTTTCTAAAGAGACACTTCTCATTTCACGAACACTCCCTTTAACCCGCGAAAGATAATGCGTAAATTAATTATCTTTTCATGCGTAATATTTAGTTATTATTCTTTACTCTTGCCATCTTGTCAAATTCTGCCTTATGCTCTAAGTTTAAAACCGCTTGGACTAGTCTTAAGTCTAGCTGTATTCCCTTGGACTAGGCTTAAGTCTGGTTTAACCCGCTCGAATTAGGTTTAAGTCTGACTTAAACCGCTTGGACTAGTCTTAAGTCTGAATTAAACCCCTTGGAAAAGACTTAAGTCTGGCTTAAACCACTCAGACTGGACTTCAGTCTGGCTTTAAACGCTTGGACTAGGCTTAAGTATAGTTTTAAACAACTCAGACTATGCTTGAATCTGGTTTAAACCACTCGGACTCGGTGTGAGACTGGCTTAAACCCCTCGGGCTAGGCTTAAGTCTGGCTTAACCCGTTCGGACTAGGCTTAAACCACTCGAACTAGGGTTAAGTCTGGTTTAAACCACTCGAACTATGTTTAAATTTGGTTTAACAAACTGTGCCCTGCTTAGATAACGATACGTTTATACTGAACCCTAATTTAATTTCAAAGATAGTTTGGGCTCATTTACAAACCCAACTCTGTTTGTTTAAAAAAACCATATAGTCTCAATTATCTTTTAAAACAATAAGTTTGTATTCTTTTATGTAAATTCCGATTGTCTTATCCACCATGTTGAATATTCTACGAACTTTAATGAAGAATCATGAATAGTATATTTGCTAAGAGTTGGACTAGAAGAAACCAGTGTTCTGGAAGCCATTCCCCCCCCCCCCTCCAACCCCTCCCATCTTTCTTCCGTTTCCTCTCCCCGTCTATATAGCTTCCTTCACCCCCCTTCGTAGAAATTTTCTTTTACCTACAGGGTTGAATAGTAGAATTGTAAAATTGTAGAATTGTAGAATTGTAGAATTGGAGAATTGTAGAAATGGAGAATTGGAGCAATGGAGAATTGTAGAACTGTAGAATTGTAGAATGTAAAATTGTACAGTTGTATAATTGGAGAATCGTAGAATTTAAGAATTATAGAACTGTAGAATTGGAGAATTGTAGAATTGGAGAAATGTAGAATTTAAGAAATGCAGAATTGAATATCGAAGAATTGTGGAATTTTAGAATTGGAGAATTGGAGAATTGGAGACTTGCAGAATTGGAGAATTGGAGAATTGGAGAATTGTTGAATCGTTGAATTTATTGAAATGTAGAATTGTTGAAATGTAAAAGTTCATAAAAGTAGAATTGTAGAACTGGCGTAGAATTGCAGAATTGTAAATTTGTAGTATCGTAAAATAGTAAATACATGAACAGTCTCTTTAAGTTATAAAAAAAATAAAAACCTCATTATGTAATCAGCAACAAAGTGACAGTTATTTAAACGGATTACTGTTTCTTTAAAAATGAATTCTCATTTTTTTATATTTTAATTTGCTACTTAAATGAGGTTATGAAGGGGTTCTCTTAATGGTTGGAATCCTGCTGAGTTTTGCAATTCCAAAAGATTGCAATCTGTGGCGTGCAAAAAGTGCACACACATGCCAATGTGTAAAACTAAACGGTTTGATTGTTCCAGGGGTCTTATAAGTAAATAATGTTTTATAAAACAAATGGAGGATGTTAAAGTGACTGTAGACGTAATTTCAAGTTAACCTCCATATGAGGCATGGTATGACCCATTCACAACGGTACCCTCTGAATGAGAAAATATTGTGGATCTTAAATTTGTTAAGTTCAGACAATTTTCTTCATTTCCTCTGCAGCATAATTCCGCAAGATACTTCTACAGAGAAACCAACATAAAAAACCTGATTAGGCTAGAAAAATAAGGATATCTTACAAAGGTTTATAGGGTATTTGCGTGAATCGGAAATGGTATTCCTTGAATAAGGATCACTTGAAATTACAGACACCTACAATCCCTTTTAGTTAACTTTTATCACTGAGTCATATGCTGATTTGCCCTGAGATAGGAATTGGGTTTTTTTTATGTTTGATAAAATTGCTCGTGGTTAGAAGCATTTCAATGTACTTTTTATGCTTCCTCATCCTGCCAACCCTGTTGACGGGACCTAATTAAAAAAGTTTGCTATGTACTTAGCATTTTTAACATTGCATTTCTATGACTAGAAATAAATAAAACCTGTTTTTCTCTGGAATTCGACAACTTTGCAATTTGTTAAATTCTTGTTTTTTCTTCACCTAACAAAAGGAGGGAATCAGAATTTTTCGGCAACGAAGGAAGGGGGGG